GCATGCTCTCATCTATGGGGCCATGAAAAGTCAGACACAACCTCACAACTAAACAACAATAGATTTGAAGATCTCGATCTGTCAGGGTACAAAATCACAATTGTTTTTAACCACTTAAAAGTATACAAGAAAAGAAGACCAAATATGATATGGATTGACTCCATCAAGGAAGCCACAGGCTTGACTTTATAAGAATTGGGCAAGGCTGTTGAGGCCAAGACATTTTGGTAATTACTCATTCATCAAATTGCCATAATACAGAGGCAACGTGATAGCACATAACAACAACAAAGTGTACTGATGAAAGATTGCAAATAGTAACTAGTAAGTGGTTGCTTAACTGCAGAGTGGAAGGGAAATCACACAAGCTCCCTGCTCCCATTCTGACAGGTTCCCTGTCACCTGTTGGTTCTTACATGGTTGCAAATGCAGTCATGCAACTAAGAGTCTGCCACTGTTGGGGAGGGGAATTTACACAGTTTCACTTCTGCTCTGCATTTAGGAAACAGGATACTAGACAATGAATTCCTAAAATTTTATTATGGAGCAACAAATATGCTAGTAGCTGATGTGACTAATACACTTTTTCATCTTGACCTCTACAACGTCCTAACACCAACAGTTGCCCGGGCAACCTAGAAGAAACCTCCCTAAAGAATGTGAGGATTATTAACTCCTTTATACTTGGAAAGGAAAGTGCAAAATAATACCTTGGGTTCCCAGATATTCTTGGCCAAAAACTCCCAGATGCCTTCACGTCCTCTGGCCACAATTTCTGGGAATTGCAGTCCAAGAACATTTGGAGAGCCAAAGTTGGGTACCACTAGTACAAGCTATGAGGGTCATAAACAGTGAAACTGGTAAAGTGGCTCTGATGAGTTGTGGGAAATGGGCAAAAGAGTGCAAAGTAGGATCTTTTGACTCTCTGTCAAACACATCTCAAATTGGTTGTAGATGGAAAGCTCACAATGGACATTGGAATACACTTCTTCACCTACTACACTTTCACCTATTTATTACCCCAGGTGCCACCCATATTGAAAATACTGCTGAGGGAGAGTGTCTGCAAGATACACAGCTATTGGAAAAGTGCTATGGAAATATCAGGCCCCTTCAAATTACCTTACCTGAACAGTTTTATAAATACCAGAGTCAGTATTTCATCCATAGCCACTCAACCAATGTCCATCATGTGAGCAATTTGTTCTTGAAGAGTTTTTGCTTGAATAAGGGCAATACTTCTACTAGCAAGAGAATCTGTATTCCTGCCATAGTAGGGTGTTGTGCCCTGTTGGTACCACACATAATTCTATCCCTAGGCTATGTTTATAAACCTTGAAAATAAATACGGGTCACATTCAGCAGGGTTTGCTTGACGGAACTATGTGGGGTAGCAATTTTCTCCAATTCCTATTTCACCCCTAAATAGTTCTCTAGAAGAGTATGAAAGGCAATTCTGGGTGTTACAAGAGAAATCAGAGAACATAAGTAGCCTGCATCTACTCAGAAGCTTCACTGGACCTTGTTTTCCTATGTGAACAGAGCAGCCCTTCTGTCTATGGATGGGCAAGACTAGTACCAATTGATTTTAGATCACACACCCCCAAAGCACTTGGGAGCTTTTGTTGATTCAACATCAACTTTCTTTAAGAAAAACAAACCTCTTCCAACACAGCAGTTATCAAAGAGATAAGTGTGTTTACCTGTTTCAGCAGCTGAAACAATGAGGAAACAAAAAAGTCTCTGAATGAGTGGATTATAAAACACAGCATCTCAGAGCAAAATAAATCTGTTCCTTTTAAATACTGGGGGAGAGGGTTGTTTGGTTTTTGTTACACACAACTCTTTTCAGAATCCTAAAGAAGTCACAGCATGGCCATATGCAATATTTGCATCTGCTCAACTGTTTGATATATAGTCAAAAGTCAAGCAAATAACCATTAGATACAATAGGATCACCATATACATGGAATCAGTACCAGGAGTTTCAGTTATCTGCTGCTTGAAAATATTAAATTAAAATAACAAGAAATACATGTTTCCAAGGTGTTATTACCAGAACTGGTGACTACAGGGAACCAGAGACTATGTTATATATAGGGTCTGCATATCCAAGTTTTCACTATCTGTGGGGGGGGAGGGGCTTACAGATACTGCGGTCCTACTGTATCTTTAAGGGACAGCCCTAAGCCTCAACCTAGATGTAATGAAGAAAAAAGTGATTAAAATGACTTACACAGAACTGGAACCACTGATATATGTCCTTCTTCATAATGTGGAAAGAGGATGACTTTTGGAATGAATACAGTGTTGAAAAGCCATACAAAGATAATCAGGCCCATACAGAACCAGCCTTGAGGGTCAACAACAAAGTGAATCCGTAGTCCCATGGTACATAATCGGAAGACTGTTTGCCCCCAAAAGAAAGGAGAAAATGAGCCTAAAGGAGAAAAGGATTGGAATTAGAATCAGTTTAGAATTATTATGAATGCTTACAAGCTAGATTAATAAAATGTTAGTTCTTGGCATGTTGCATGTGAAAGAGAATCAAATATGATTACATTAGTCTTTGCCTTTTACATAATAATATCACACTTTATATCATGAGCTCATATTTTTGGAAAAAGCCTTCAGAACCAGCTTTTGAAGTCACCAGGAACAGCTTCCCTCTACAAAGAGGCACTCATTACCTCCAGGACCCAGCTGAACAATTACCTTCTGCAAAATGGAATTAGCCATGAGGTACAAGAGAGCTGGACTATAAAGAAAGCTGACTGCTGAAGAATTGATGCTTTTTAATTGTGGTGCTGGAGGAGGCTCTTGAGAGTCCCCTGGACTGCAAGGAGAACAAACCTATCTATTTTGCAGGAAATCAACCCTGAGTGCTCACTGGAAGGACAGATCCTGAAGCTGAGGCTTCAATACTTTGGCCATCTTATGAGACGACTCCCTGGAAAAGACCCTGATGCTAGGAAAGTGTGGAAGCAGGAGGAGAAGGGGCTGACAGAGGATGAGATGGTTGGACAGTGCCATTGAAGCTACCAACATAAATTTGACCTAACTCCGGGAGGCAGTGGAAGACAGAAGGGCCCGGCGTGCTCTGGTCCATGGGATCACGAAGAGTCGGACACGACTTAATGACTAAACAACAACACAAAAGTCAAAGAAGTATGTAATAGGCTGCACTGCTACATCTTTCAAAGCACCTCCTCCATATCCGCAGGCTATAACCACGACTTAATGACTAAACAACAACACAAGAGTCAAAGAAGTATGTAACAGGCTGCACTGCTACATCTTTCGAAGCACCTCCTCCATATCTGCAGGCTATAAAAATAGAAAGTGAACCCACAAATTCAACCCGTTGTACTTTGGATCAGAGCTTAGACAAGTTTCTTGTCATGCTACCTGGAGAATTTTAGGAGTTACAGTCCAAATATTTAACTTTTCAAAGCTCTGCTCCAGATAGATCCCTTGACTGAAATGTTGAATTCCTGATGCTAAAATTTAGACAAATTTCAGAAATTCTACTATCAAGCTGTTTCATAAATAAATCACAGTATGCTTCCAAGGATTCTATCCCATTCTGCAATACTTCAACTTGAAGCAAGTTCCAAAATACTTGGAAATGCTCAACTGAATAAAGTTTTGAGAAAATAATGGTGCCAGAGAATTGCTCCTAGCCTGTCAGGTACTAGGCCTCACAATAAGCTATGAATATGATTCAGCTCATATACATTTTACTCCATTCTTGTTGCATTACAAAAGAGCCAAATGTTTAGGAGCAATTGTGATATTTAAAAAACAACTTGAGCAGTTCCAACAGACCAGATTTCCCGAGCAGCTCCTCCCATGACAACTGGAAACTCTGCAAAGGCCCTCAGATTCCAACAGTTTTAGGTCCGTTATGTCATAGGAAATTACCACTGACAATCAAAACCTCTCCAGAAAGTGATCTAATGATGAAAATAGTACCAAAAAAAACCTCCACATCAGAAAATTATATTGTGGGTCAAGCAGTAAATGTTTATAAACAGATTGAATAAAAATCTACACAGGATGCTCTAAAACAGAAACAACAAAGCAGAACATTTCTATCTTCCATCCCATTTCTAGTGGCCAAAACCTCCTACATCTAAATCCTGCATAGCATGTATATCCAATTAAAAATTTAAGTAATCTCATCTAAAGCACGGTACATACTTCCACACCTCCCTGGGTGACAAACTGCATTTCTCCACCTACACCAACATTCTGTCACTGAACGCCACCTAAATTCTCTTCTTCCTTAAGTCTAAAAATTGCCCAGTATCTACCTTTAACTCTTTAATTTCTACAAATAGCTCTTTTATTTCTACGCACTCCACCAAACACAATATGCTGAAACTAAGGAGAGAGCAAATTGTAAACTATTCTTTGCTAAGATTCCCAAAGATACAGAAAAGTGCAATACAACTGGAATCTTAGTTTTAGCAGACAGTTAATGTCTTATAATATCTAATCAATCAGATAACTAATGAACATCTTATTTCCTCCATAGTTGTATCCTTCATGTCAACACTGGCAAGTTGGAAATGTTTGTTAAGTTGCTAATGCCGGATCAGTAGCAATAGTATCACGATAGTCCTGTGTAAGTTCCCATAATCAGTAGTAGATCTTTAGAAAGCACAGGATACCCACCAGACACACCACCACAAGCCAGCTTATCTCAGTAGCAATAGTATCACGATAGTCCTGTGCAAGTTCCCATAATACAACACAATACTCGTGGCGCAGTGGTTAAAACGCTGTACTGCAGCTAAAACTGTGCTCACGACCTGGGGTTCAAATCCCAGGTAGCCGGCTCAAGGTTGACTCAGCCTTCCATCCTTCCGAGGTCGGTAAAATGGGTACCCAGCTTGCTGGGAGGGCAATGTGTAGCCTGTATAATTAAAATTGTAAACCGCCCGGAGAGTGCTTGTAGCGCTATGGGGCGGTATATAAGTCCAATAAATAAATAAATAAATAAATAATCAGTAGTAGATCAACTGTGTTCTTTACTGCTTTTCCTGTACTTTTGCTTTTGCTCTTTAGAAAGCACAGGATACCCACTAGACACACCACCACAAGCCAGCTTATCCTATCCGGCTGCGATCCTTATATAGTCCAAAATATAAAAAAACGTTAAAAGCAAAAAGTGATGGTTGACGCTACACCCAAAAAGCAAGCAAAATCAGGCCAGAGATTAATCCCCCTCAGTCAAAATATGGACACATTGAGGTACTTATTGTACAGTGGTGCCTCGCTTGACGAGGATAATTCGTTCTGTTCAAATTGCTGTTAAGCGAAATCCTCTCAAGCGAAACGAAAAAGCCCATTGAAATGCATTGAAAACCGGTTCAATGCATTCCAATGGGCGAAATACCTCAGCGTCCAGCAAAGATCCTCCAGAGGGCGGCCATTTTCCGGTGCCTGTAATACGAGGAATCCGTCCTAAAGAACAGAGGGAAACCATATTGCACATTTTGAAACCCGACGATCAGCTGTTTTTGATCGTCATTAAGCAAAAAATCGGTTCCCGAAGCAGGGAATCAATCGTCGTAAAATGGAAAAAAAACCATTGAATCATCGTTTAGCGATCACAATAGCGATCACAAAAAACTAATCGTCAAGCAATTTCCTCATCTAATGAGGTAATCGTCAAGCGATGCACCACTGTAGCTTGCTTTCAACCCCAAGTAAACATTTGTACATAATATGTCACTTATTTGTTGAAGAACTGAAATGAAATACAGGCTTCAATAGTCAGGATATATAATTAAAAGATTTGCAGCAGAATCCCATCCAAGATTACATAATCTTAATAGTACAGTCCCACTGATGAATATTTGGGAAAGGGAAGCTGCAATCTGTTTAATGGGTTTGGCTCTTAGTAAGCAGTGTCCACACACGCACACACTTTCACACAGGTGAGCAAAGAAACCCTCTCGAGTTTAAAAACAAAACCCTCAAAGAATTGTTTTAATCTAGAAATGACATATTTTGGCCAAAAATGACCCTTGTAGCAGTAGTGCCCCACTCCCCCACCCCAGGTTGCTCACACTTTAAAATAACTTTAAAAGTGAACTGGAAGTTCCTATCCAGACATTGCCTCTTTTTTTCTTTTCTTTTCGAAATGGCTGGTTTTGACCATTTCCAAGTCTTATATGATCCACTGGGCAAGATGGGAGCTTGAGTTTGGCTCTAAGCTATCAGATCTTCCCCATCCTGTCTTTAGACAAATAAACAGTGGAACTCACCTCTCATGTTTACTTGGCATGGAAGTTAAGGAACAAAAAGGATATGCCAATGTGCTCATGTTCTAAATAACAAAGGTTCATTAGTAGCCTGAATTTTGTTGTTTCTTTTCAACAACAACTTTTTCCTTTAAAGCAATTTTGTAATTCTATTTGTTTATTTGTTTGATTTTATTTGTTTTGTTTTGGGGAATTTTTCTGCTCTTTGAAACACATATACATCAGTGTCATGAAAAAAAGGCTGCCTTTGCTGAACAACCTATAGTATGAGAACAAAATTTAAAAGCCACTGTATAAATAACAATGCAAATATTCAACACCAACCCACTATGAAAAGTAGACCAATGTTTCCAAACCTGTTCTCTCTTAATGTATATGGAAATGACACCCACACAGAAATGAGGAGTCACTACCTAAGCATCTCTCTTAAATGAAGGAGAGTTACTGTGGTGCAATCAATAGAATGTCAATCCTACCACTCTGGAAAATTAGATTTATCCCCGATTGGTCATGGAAACTCAATGGAGAGGGTAACAGTAAACCATTCCTTGAGCATCTCACATATATCTTATTAAGACTGCCAAAAACTGGAAGCAACATGATGGCACACATGAACTACAAAGAAACAGGTCCTGCATACTATTGTTGGTGTGCTACTTAAATTTTCCTTGGAGAAATAAATTCTAGGATTGCATATGTTCTACCAAAAGCCAGTCTTATCTAAGTGGAGGGAAGGAAAATCAAAATTTTCACTTCGTAATCACCAGTGTCCATTGCTCATTGTAGTAGAGACCTCAACCTTTTACAAGGTTGAAAGACTGAAAGAACTGGGCATGTTCAGACTTGAGAAAAGAAGACAGAGGGGTAGTAACACTTTTCAAATACCTGAAAGGCTGTCAAACAGAGGAGGGGCAGGATCCTGTCTTGATCATCCCAGAGTGCAGGACATACAACAATGGGCTCAAGTTACAGGAAGCCAGATTTCAGTTGAATATCAGGAAAAACTTCCTAACTGTTAGAGCAGTACAACATTGGAACCAGTTACCTCGAGGCATTCAAGAGAAACTTTGACAACCACCTGGCAGATATGCTATGATTGTACTGTATTCCTGCATCAAGCAGAGAGTTGGACTTGATGGCCTTGTAGGACCATTCCAACTTCACTATTCTATGATTGTGCAAAGCTGAGTGTGACGTACAGAGAGAGTGTGTGCCGTCCTCAACAGAGAAAAGACAGGAGGAGACATCTGGATGTGTAGAGGGAGAACTCATAAGGATAGAGGAAGATGAAGTGAAGGGTGAGACAGTGATAGAGATATGTCTGGCAGAAGATAAGGAGGGAAACAAAGGGGAGGACAAGATCTGATACTATGAGAGGAGGTTATAAAAGAGGATGAAGAAGTGCGGGAATTTAGAGTGGAAGTAGACATGAAAGAGAGAAGCAGGAGAGACAGCACAGTACAGACAAATAGTGTGGACGAGCAGGCTAATAAGGTTTGCGACCTGTTGAAAGAATTTCCCAACATTAAAACAGGAGGAGGGTTACTTCCTGACCCCTCCTCCCCTAGGGGTGAGAGGAAGGTGGTAAACCCCTTAGAATGGACGGTCGTGGTCTACCCCCGCAACCAAGGTGAAGGGAGGAAGGTGATCCGACCCAGTCCCATCTGCAACACACCACCCCTGGAGGGGGATTGGGCGAGACACCCGTGTTGTGGAACAGTGTGTACGGTGAGGAATACCCCGATGCAGCTGATGATCAACCGTGAATGCTCTGGTCCAGCCCCGATGTGAGAGATGGACTGTGTACCCCTGAATCAAAGATGTTGAGTTATGGAATAATTCTAGAGTTAAGCAGTTTTGACCCATTTGCTCTTGTTAGTAAAGAAGCAGAAGAGAATAAAGTTAAAGTTGTTGAACAGTTCAAATCGCCTCCTTATCTTATTCCTGCCAAAATGAAGGAGCCGTCATCAGTTCAAGAAGAACCCAATCACACTGAGCCAATTAGCCTCCAAATGGAAGCAGGAGTCATCCCACCAGTAATTCACAGATAAAAGAAGTCATAGAACAAACTGCCACAGGGATTCAGAAAAAAGCAAAGGTTATAGAGGCTAGGCCTACATCCTATGCAGAGGCCTATCCTCTGTGGGGTAGGGGAAACTCTTTGATTTCAAACTAAGCTCTGCACGAAATCTGGATAAAAATAACTTTTTCAAAGTACTGATCACCATCCACCCTTTGGCGTGTGAGGATTTTTTTATAGTGGCGCTAACACAAAGCATTTTCCCCAAAGCTCCTCATCCATATCTTTGTAAATAACCTAATTCATACATGAACCTCAAACAAAACATTTGTGTAAGCCAGTGTCTTTTCTTACTAGAAACAAATACTGCAGGTTCCAACCACCCAGCTTCAAAACTGAATGAATTTATACTCCCATAGCCACCAAAAACTAATCCCATCTGATCTACTACATACATTTATGAATATTCTACAAAAAATTCTACTAAAACAGTAATTCAGAAACCACCAAGATAAACAAATACACTACTATTAAAGATACATTAACATTAATCATTATCATTATACACTGCTCAATCAATTTTGACTTGTGATGCCTCTCTCAGAGGTTTTATTGAATTGGTATAGCTCCTTGAGTTTAAATTCCCAGCTGTAAAATTCAAATCACCACTATGCCTTTCAAAAGGTAGGCCAGCCAAGATCAGGTGGACTTTATCTGGCTGATGGAGTAATGTTCTCTGCCACCTGTGCAGGTAAATTTGAACATAAGAAAAACCTAGAAATACTTCATGAAGTACATGCAGGAGAACCAAATTAAGAGAACAATTAAGAAAACAATGTACATTCCCAAAACGTGAAGTACTCTTACGTTGAAATTACAGATTCACTCATTCATTTATTCAGATTGTTGTTTATTTTTATAATTCTTTTTCCAGCAACTATTCTCTATCCACTAAACAAGTGCTTCAGAAAGAAAAACAATGGGAACAGACTATACAGTAACTCTATGCAGGTGAAGGAATATCACGCTACCTCTGCTCTTTCTTCACACAAGCTGTGCCCTCAAGGAATGCACCTTTTAAAATGAGACAGCCTTCCCAATTGGTGGAAGTTCTCCTTACTATTCAGAAGAAACTGCTGGCTCTAAGACAAATGCCAATATCTGTGATGTGATGATATCATTATTAGGCATAAAACTCTCTGTGCCAACTTTCAAGATCTGAAACAAAACCTTCATTGGGCATGTTACAAAAAAACTGGGATAGGAAGGCTTGAATGTAATGGGGTACGAAATGCAGACATTCCATGGTTTTCAGCTGCACAAACAACTTCCCCTCCTTTCAGCACCAGCTAGGCCTCATGTTGAGTACTGTGTCCAGTTCTGGACCCCACACTTTTAAGAACTGGAACAGGTTCAGAAGAGGGCAACAAGGATGATCAGAGGACTGGAAACCAAGCCTTATGAAGAATGACTGTAAAACCTGGGCATGTTTAACAGACATTCCATGGTTTTCAGCTGCACAAACAACTTCCCCTCCTTTCAGCACCAGCTAGGCCTCATGTTGAGTACTGTGTCCAGTTCTGGACCCCACACTTTTAAGAACTGGAACAGGTTCAGAAGAGGGCAACAAGGATGATCAGAGGACTGGAAACCAAGCCTTATGAAGAATGACTGTAAGACCTGGGCATGTTTAGCCTTGAGACGAGGAGACTCTTGGAAGACATGATAGCACTCTTCAAATACTAGAAACAGTTCTGTACAGAGGGGGAAAACAGCCTGTTCTTAATCATTCCAGAGTACAGCACGCATAAAAATAGGCTCAAGTTACAAGAAGCCAAATTTCATTTGAATATCAGGAAAAATTTCTTAAGTGTTAGAATAGTACAATGCAACCAAGTACCTCAGAGAGTGCTGAGCGCTCCAAAACTGGAGACATTCATTAGGAAGTTTTTGAGATATACTTTTACTGAAACAGCCTGTTCTTAATCATTCCAGAGTACAGCACGCATAAAAATAGGCTCAAGTTACAAGAAGCCAAATTTCATTTGAATATCAGGAAAAATTTCTTAAGTGTTAGAATAGTACAATGCAACCAAGTACCTCAGAGAGTGCTGAGCGCTCCAAAACTGGAGACATTCATTAGGAAGTCTTTGAGATATACTTTAACTGGGATTCCTGCATCTAGCAGGGGTTGGACTCAATAGCTTTATAGGCCTCTTCCAAAACTTCCATCATTATTCCATGATTCTTCAGAATAATAGAATAATAAAGACAGAGGATGCTCTCTCTCATTCAGAAAATCACCTTCCACGTTTAGGTAACTATGGGACTGGCCACAGAAAGCTGTGTAGCAATTCCTATTTACTTCACTGCTCAAAGTATAGAAGAAAGACCAAGTATTATTCGGCTTCTGAATCACCACACCTGGCATCATATTTGGCTGTGGTCATGCACCTCAATGGGCCCTCCACTGCCTCCCCTACCTGTCATCTCCGTCACCAGCCCTTGAATCTCTTCGAATCAGTTCACAATTCCTGCCACTACTTACTATCCATTCCTTACATTTGGCATCTGGCTAATAAATCTGCCCCCCCCCAACAAGGCCAACACTAAGTTGACAAGATGCCTGCCTCCCAGGAAAGGGAGGAAGGTGCTCACTCAGCCTCAGGGGTGCTAAGTCCACCTCAGCAGCCCAACGGGCGTGATTCTCACCCACCTCCCTTTCCTGCAGAATAATGTGGCAGGATGGGCCTTCCACGTCCAAGCCGTCCCGAGCTCTTCAGCCATGGAGGAGCCAAGCAAGCAAAGGCAAACGCCCTGTGACCGCCCAGGGGGAAGCCTGGCCTCCACAGCTGAGACCTCGGAGGCAACCTGGCCGAACCGCAGCCCCGGTTGCCTCAACCTTCAAACTCCACACTCGGGCTGGAGGAACTGGGCAGGCTGGGCATGTTTTTCCATCTCCCATGTAGGAGTGGATCAGCTCTGCTGATGAGTGAGGGAAAGCCCCCAAGTTTCCTCTTCACCTTTGAAAATCCCAGCAACTGTGCAGAGATCGTAGGACTCTTCCCCCTCCGCTCCAAGACCTGGAACAGTTTTGCCCTTGCCCTGCTGGTCCCTTCGAGGGCGGGGGAGGAAACTCTGGGCTTGCACTGATGGCTCAGAAGAACTCCTCAAGAAGACTCCCAAGATGAACAAACGGCTTTTCCCCAAAGTGGAAGGGAGAGACGGCAGGAAAGGGCAAACGCACCCAATTCCCTCCTTCCTCCCACCACTTTCCACCGCTACCCCATCCACCCTCACCAGTCAGTCCTCCCTCTCGCCATTGCCCACAGGCACAACAGAGCGGGGGGGGAGAGAGAAACCAGGCGCGTCCGAGCAAAGAGAGCCGGCGCCCGGCGCCCGGCGTCACTCCCGCCTCAGTCACTCACCGGTGGGAGGCCCCGCCGACCCTCATGGAGCTGCCCGCAGCTAGGCGCCGCTCTGACTTCCGCAGTTGCTTCTGCGCACGCGCGTCACGAAAGCCGGGCCTTGCTCTGGAGGCGTAGAGTGGGGGGGTAAAGCTGGCCATCGGGCGGGCGCACCCTGGCGCCGGGAGGGTTAGAGACAAGCTGTCGTGCTTCCCGCCCGTCCCCTCCTTCGCTGGAAAAGCCCGGCTTTTTTTTTTTCCTGGTAGTTCCGTCAGGCGCCTTAGCAACGGGAGCCGTTACGGCGCCGGGGACACAGGGCACCCTCCTTTGGCTGCTGAAAATGCCTGGGCGAGAGCGCGCTGTGGAAAGAGAGCAGTTCTGTGCTTCCGTTACTCTGTGAGGCGTAGCCAAGATCCAACCCTGTGCCTGCTTTCTTAAGAAGAAGCCCCATAGAGTTCCACAGAAAGAGTTACTTCCCAGAGAGAGAGAGAGAGAGAGAGAGAGAAGCCGTCTGTTGTCTGGGAGCTTCGGAGGCAAAGTGCTCAAGAATAGGCTTAAAGTGACCCCAGAAGTGAGACCACAGCCCACCTAGTCGCTACCCTCTGCATCGACAACACCCTCTTGGCTACAGTGGATGTAGAAGCTATCATCCCACACAGGGTCCTTTTTAAGGAGAAAAATGAGAACATTAGTCCAAAAGTGATCGTTAGTGTCTTGACCAAAAAATGTATTTTAAAAAATAATAATGATCCATTTCTAAATAAATACTGTTATGGCTGTAGAGTTATATATTTGTATATTGAATATTACAGTGGAAAAGGTTCACATAACATCACATTAGACAAAATGTTACTTTGTATGTTGGCAGACATTAACCCAGAAAGGGAATTCTGGCTGTAATCCAATGCTTATCTATTGAACATACTTGGTCTTTTTGTTGTTAATTCATGTCCAACTCTCCATGACCCCACAGACTAGAGGAAGCCAGGCCCTCCTGTCTTCCACTGCCTCCCGGAGTTTGGTTAAAATACTTGGTCTTACCACTGTGTAAAGATAATTAGGGTCATGCTGTCAACAATATCAAATAATGCATCTGAAGCATGAAGTAAACATATTTTGATCATCTTTTTTGATTGCTGACTCCTGATAGAGCACAGCTGAGGAATAAAGCTGAGCAAGACCCAGGGACCTTGTGATGAGGGAGAGCTAACAGGAGTTCCAAAGGGGAGGCCCTTAATAACATTTTTGGAAACAGTTGAATGCTAGTAGACTTTCCCAGCTATGTTCAAGGTAACAAAATAAAGGGACAGGGTGCTCATAGACAAACAGACCAAAGCAAAAAGGTAACAGGGATTATGGAGGGAAGGAACACTTTGGTTATGGTGACCTGCAAATTTTGTGCAGACACATGAACCAGACACATTGGCAGATCTGACAACAACAACAGCAAAATCAACAACAATAAAAATAATTGGTTATGGTGACCTGCAAATTTTGTGCAATGTTTCTGCCTGAATGTGACATGGTGTACACATGCAGCAAGGTCAAACTGGTGGCATTGTTAGAAGAAGTAGTGAGAGAACTGGAGCAGTGAGTAGCCACACATAAGGCTATAATGGAAGATGAAGTATACATTGAACTCTTGAGCAACAGCAGCAACAGCTGTCAATTGAGGCACTGGAGGTGGAAGAGCAACAAAGGAAGTCAGAGGAAGAGAATGTTGAGGAGAGAGCAAACATAATGGAGGAAGCACCATGGAAAAGAACCACAGGAGAAAAAGAAGAAGTGGAACTGTGAAACCATGTTCAGGTTCCTGATTAGGAATCTGTCAGACAGAAAGCAGACAAAGTCGAAGAGCAGACCTTGCAGGAGTACATGAGAGGGACTGAAACCCAGCCAAGCAGAGGCACTAAACCCATACCCTTCCAAAAAAAGATGAGTAGAATACAATGGTGCCTTGCTTAATGGGCGCCCTGTTTAACGATGAAATCGCATAGCGACGAAGATTTTGCGATCACATTGTGATGTTTTAAATAGGGAAAAATCGCTTTGCGATGATCGGTACCCTGTTTCGCTTACCGATCATCACAAAGCGATGATTTTTTAACAGCTGATTGGCGGTTCCAAAATGGACACCGGGTAAAATAAATGGCCACCCGCTGTTTTCTGGGACAGATTCCTCGCTTACCAGGCAGCGAAAATGGCTGTCGTATGGAGGATTTTCATTTAAACGTGAGTCGGAAGCCCATAGGAACGCATTGAAGGGGTTTCAATGCATTCCTATGGGCTTTTTAAAATTGCATAGCGACGAAATCGCTTTGCAGCAATTTTTGCTGCACCGATTATCGTCGTTATGCGAGGCACCACTGTAGTTGTAATAAGAGACTCCCTACTGTGTGGGATGGAAACTGAAGTATGTTAGGAAGATCTATGGACCCACCAGGTATGCTTTCTCCCTGGAGCACAGATTACGGATGTGACAGAAGGATTGCCATTGCTCGTTAAACTCAAGAATGCATATCCCTTTTTAGCACCACAATCACTAGCACCACCATTATATAAAATAGAGTTTGGCCCATTAATATCTTCAGATCATGCCCCAATAAAAGTAATATGGAGTAACAATACTTTAAAAAAATAAAAGAACTGGAGGCCAAGTTCTAACATGCTTACCAACCCACAAATCACAAATTTCGTGATGGAGGGGGAAAGATTAAAAAAGAAGAGAGGAAAACTGCAAAGGTAATTAGAGGAAAAAATTTACAAACACTCAGAGGAACATAAGAAATCAGGTTCTAATAAGATACAGAGTTAACAAGAATTAGGGTAGAACTAGAAACATTAGACATAAAAAGGACTCAGATAGCTATTAACTACTTGAAGAGGAATTATTATGAAGATGGAAATAAAAACTTCAGATTGTTATCCAAAGCTATAAAAAGTAAAGCTATTAAAAGGGCAATTGTTTAAACTAAAGAAGGAAGATCTGTAACTGCACAGCAGCAAATGAATATTATAACGAATTGTGATACAGCTTTCAAGATGGTGCAGTGAACAGATGCACCTCCATAGCTTTGTGTGGAAGCCCACTTGTCCCGTCCCAGTTCAAGCAGCACCCAGAGCATCAAAAAACACAAAGGTAAAAGAAAAAGTAAGGAGCTTTGTAACGACTTTCCTCTTGATCTCCCAGTACCTAAGTCTTCAACTGTTGCATTGGGAAATCTACTCCTAGGGTCTATGGCACCTAGTCTTCCAACCGGACAAAAGACCCCCTCAAGGAGTCAGACCCCTCCTGAAGACACATTGGTAGATCTGACAACAACAACAACAACAAAATCAACAACAATAAAAATACCACACACCCCTCAACTTATAGTCCAATAACATTACAAAACCAAGATCAAATTTTTTCTATTTTAGCACAAAGACTGAATAGTTTTATCATAAATTATATTTGCACCAATCAATATGGTTTCATACCAAGTAGGCAAAAGTCAGATGTGATTCGTAGGGTTTTAAACATCATAAATACAGCAAGTGAAAAAGTTGCAATATTTTTAGATGCTCTTAAAGCTTTTGATCACATTGAATGGTGATATTTATTTAATTAATTAGAGGGGATGAATATGAGAGGAGAATTTATCAAGGTGGTAAGAAATCTATAGGACGGGGTGATAATAAACAGACTAGAATCAGATAGATTTTAATTACCTAGAGGAACAAGACGGGGAGACTTTTTGTCTCCATTAATATTTGCTCTAGATATTGAACAACTGGCAGTAAAGAGTAGAGAAAATGATAACATTACTAGCATGACAACCAGCAACAGACGGCACAAAATTAATTTATATACTGTTCCAATAAGAAGGAAAAATGGGAGATGTCTAAAGATACCAGAATGGTTGACTAAAGAACTTTCAACTGAACTAATTGTTTAAAAAAAAAAATGTACAAGAAATGGAAAAATGGGTAAGACACCAAAGAGAAATACAAGCAAATATCCAGTATATGTACGGGGAAGGTAAGAAAAGCAAAAGAGCAGAATGAATTCAGGCTTGCCAGACAGATTAAAAAGAATTAAAAGGGCTTTTTTTTTAGTTATGGCCACAGCAAAAGGAAAAACAAGGAAATGATAGAGTCGCAGCGTGGAGAAGATGGCCAACTACAAACAGAGGACAGGGAAAAGGCAGAACTTCTCAACACCTTCTTTGCCTCAGTTTTCTCCAAAAAGGAAAACAATGCTCAACCTGAGGGGCAAAGAGCTGATGATGTAGTGGGGGAAATGCAGGACAGAATAGGTAGAGAAGTAGTACAGGAGTACCTGGCTACTCTAAATGAATTCAAGCCTCCAGGGCCAAACAAATTGCATCCAAGGAAATTGAAAGAACTGGCAGAAGTCATTTCAGAACCATTGGCAATAATATTGGAGAATTCTTAGAGAACAAGAGAATTCTCCACAGATGGGAGGAGGGCAAATGTTGTCCCTATCTTCAAAAAGGGAAAAAAAGAAGACCCAAATAATTATCACTCCCAAGCCAACTACACCAGAGCACAGAGTGCTGTCCTCTGAAGATGCTGGCCACAGAGACTG